GTTACATAAACTAACAAACATGTTTTCCTATATGTACCATAGTCTATTTCGGCGAGTTCCCAACCAAATTGTGTGTGAATTTCTTGTCCCCTCTGCAATGAAACATGCTATGATTCATGTTATCCCTTCCTGAAAGTTTATAAGGCCCACATTGAACTGTTTAACAGGTATCAAAGCACCCGTACGTGACGGAAAATAATGGGTGCAGACCATTGATCTCGGAGACCCTCGCGTTTCTGCACTACTCAGTTATGATGACGAGGGAAGACAAGGAAATCGTGACACCAAGAATTGCCCGCCCGCGAATCCCAAACGACATTCTTTTTGCTGTTGGTGGGTATCGCGACAACAGGCCGACAGATGTGATCGAAGCGTACGACGCACGAGCAGACCGGTGGAGTGTGGTGAGTTGCGCGCATTTCTACTCTTACCGTGCCTTGTTAAATGACGCCACCGAGAAAAACTACTTTTCCCCCTTTTTGCTTATTTTTACTAAGTAATTGTTTATTTAAGCTTACTCACAAGTATGTCTTTGTCTCTTTTTTTCTTGCTAATTTATTTCCATTACATTGAACCCTTTTAAAGAGAAGCTCCAAAGACATGAATTAAAATGAATGAATAAATAAAATAAATGTTGAGTCTTATGTAAAATGTAAGTTCTAATAGGATTCCAAGAAATATATAAAGTTTCCATAAATACCATTTACAATAAGCGTCCTATATCGACTGTCATGGCAACCTGCCTGCTGATTTTAGACATGAAACGAAATATTCGTTGATCGTCAGTGTGGATTTCAATGTAATAAATGAAGTACTGACCTTCGTCGATGTTGACCATCCGGGTGGTAACACCGCGTAAATTAGTAGGCTTACACACTGTTTGGGTTGGGGATTGGGGACATGCTACCTCCAGCTTTGCGTCGAAGATCTAGACATCATTGGTAGAACAGTCAGGGCTGCTGAAGAAGGATTTGTGAAGCTGGAAAATGCAGCCAATGAAATGGGCCTTTCTATCAATGAAAGTAAGACAGAATACATGGAAATATCGCACAGACCAACCAATATGCAGTAACTGAAAGTAAATAATCACAAGTTTGGAAAAGTAAACGAATTTAAATATCTGGGCACTTTAATTAATTCGACCAATGATCTAACTCCAGAAATTAACCATAGACTACGGCTAGCTATCAAATGTTACTATGGACTAAAAAACAATTAAGATCCAGTCACCTCACCCTTAAGACAAAATGCGCGAAATACAAGACACTTCTACGACTTGTGTTGCTCTATGGGAGTGAAAGCTGTGCCCTGACGAAGGCACACTTAACACTTAAACGACCCGTTCATCGGCTCGCGCTCGGGCGCCAGCATCTCCTCCATTCTTGTCTATCCCGTGCTCGGGTAGACCAGTGTCTGGTGGTTGTACTCGACGGCAAGAGAGTCTGCCCAACGAGCAGCGGGCGCTTCCTGTCTCGCTGCCATACGAGAACAAATTAAGAGTATTCGAAAGGAAAATCTTAAGAAAAATATATGGTCCAAAGAATGAAGAGGGAAACTGGCGAATCAGATATAATGATGAATTATACTATCTATATAATGAGCCTGATGTAATTAAAGTAATAACGACAGGAAGACTTAGGTGGCTGGGACACCTGTATAGAGCCAGTGAAGCACGCTAATCGACGAAGGATACTAAGTTTGCCTTAAATACCATTTACAACAAGCGTCCTATATCAACTGTCATGGCAACCTGCCTGCTGATTTTAGACATGAAACGAAATATTTGTCGATCAGTGGATTTCAACGTAATAAATAAAGTACCGATCAATGTCGATGTTGGTTGTCTGCGTGGTAAGTCAAGCTCTCGGAGTCCAGGGATTGAAAAGGAAAGCCGTACATAGGGACCAATGGAAGCGAATTTTTGGGGCGGTCAAGGCCTGTAATAGGCTGTAGAACCCGTGGTAGTGATGATGATGATGAAACCCAATACATTAACAGGTTACTTGTAGACTTGAAGAGAACACTAATAATGTTTGGGCTTCTCTTCGGGGTCTTCCTGTTTCCCCCGTCTCTCATAATTCCATCATTTGCTCCAAGTTAATGTCTCACGGTCTTTGTCGAGTTCGGTAGGCCCGGCCACCCAGCACGGTGTAGCAGTTTCGGTCCACTGTTGGGGGTTGCACCTCTGCTCAGTGGTTGTTCGGTTGCTTGGACTCTAATGTAAGGACTTCACATCAGTAGACCAAATGACCCAAAGAAACATTAAGCCATAACCTGTCTTTCCTGCAGGTGGAGACGGTCGACTCGATAGGTCCGCGAGCCGAACACGGCACGGCAGTTGTCGGTTTCGACATTTACGTCATCGGCGGTACCGACGGCTTTGAATGTTTAAGCTCATGTCGCTGCTTCAACGCTGTAACGAAGACATGCCGCGAGGTGGCGTCTATGCATGAACGCAGGTAAGATGCAGCTTGGTAACTAAGGAACTCCTTGGAACAGAGTCCTTCTTCAAAGGCTGATAGTCGCTCCGTTGTTCAAAATATAAATGTGCGCAGGGGATGTAAAATTGTACCAATCACATACAGGAGCATCGTGCAAAGTGTGAATAGGTAGGAGGACATTTGTGACAATGTTAGTCGTCGGTCAAACTCGAATAGAAGCCAGTCATTAACTTCGTTCGTAGTTTCTTCAGGTTTTAAGAATTTGACCAGCTTGTTAATTCATTTGAATTGTGATTTAACAATTACGAACGAACGACTGTGTTCTGCGAGAGGAAATGTATTTGTATCAGCAAAACATGAGCATCAACACCACAGGAGCATGAAGCATAGCAAAGTCTGTATTTTTTCCGTTTCAGAAGCAACTTCACTGTGGCAGTTCTGGGAGAGGTAGTGTACGCCATGGGTGGTTATGATGATCATCAGCGACACGAAACGGCGGAACGATATAACTACAAGATGAACCAATGGTCTTTGATCGCTCCTATGAACACGAAGCGATCCAATGCAAGTGCGACTGTGCTAAATGGTAATGTAAATCCTGTGATCAGTAACGTGTGAATTAGTGCAGAAGGCGAGACGTATGTCTGTCTACGTGTAATAAGGCAGGAACGGTTGAAGTAATTGCAGGATTTGAGGTTCTCACGGTGGCGAATACGAAGATGGCGGTAGTTTGTCTTGTAGCGTTGTGTAGTCTGGTAGAAGTCCACCGACGTTCCAGAGGAACTTGATGCCTTCATCATCAAAGCAGCAAGCACCTCTGAAACGTGTAAACTAGTAGAAAGAACCCTTTAAACACGAGGGGCATGATTTGTTTTGTAAATTCATGTCACCACATCCTCTGACTCTCCTCTTCATTCTTAAACTTTGTTTGTTCATCCATTTCCTCATGTTCTTTATCCGTGCTACGTTCTACGTTATTTCACAGACTGCAACTCCTTGAATTTCTGAGTATGTGAAGGTTTCCTCTGGTCCTGTAAGTTGTCCCTGTACATCGTCTTCTGCTATTTGTAGTGTACACTAGGAGTGAATGCAGAAAACAATTAAATTATCAAACTGGCTCTCATACTACAGATGTATAATGTTCTTAGACGGTTAACAATCTCGTGTAAGTAGCACGTTACATTAAAAATTTGCAAGCATCACTTGGCAGCTTGTACTGAACATCTCTGATACCAAATTCGATCATATTCATTTAACAGAATATTAACATACCATAGTCTCCATTATGCGTTAAATTACACACTTTATGCAGTTTATATTAAATTTAAGTTTGTTTTCGTCCAATTAAACGCATTTCCTTTGACAAGCTGATTGTCTGCATTCATCGATGTGAACAGAGACAGCCGTGTCCATACAATTGCTATGACACAAAGGGGGACATCAAATGCTACAGATTTTCTCAGTATAATGCCTCTGCCTATATCAAACATGTATACAGTTCGTGTCATATAGGTAATTTGTTTTTACAGACAAAATATACGTCGCTGGTGGATTTGATGGTCACGAATATTTGAAATCGGTGGAAGTGTATGACCCGGAGACCAACCAGTGGACATTCGTTGCACCAATGCTTTCTCGACATTGCTGTCTTTCTTGCGTCACCTTCCATGGCAGTGTGTACGCCCTAGGTGAGAATTCGAGATATTCTGAGTAATAACCCTCTATCTTTCTTACAGAACTTTCAGTGTTTTCCTGTTTTTCTCTGAGATGTTATGAACAGCAGTTTGTGTGTGCCATTACAGAGTTAGTTTGTCAGTATTTTTAACCCAAATTCGTGGTTTTGATTACTTTCTTCACAAAGAAAATTAACTAACAAATACAGATTATCTCTTTTTATATTTAAACTACCGTATACCCCAATTGTCACACAGCCCCAGGTTTAAAGGTAAATATTTTGTTCGTGTGGCAAGGAAATTTCAGTTTGCCGGTTTCAACAGTGCAGCTCTTATTTATAGTTGAACGCTTTTGTCGTATGCAGTTGTATGAAGCAGTAAACACTTGTCAGGTGCAATTTCCTGATGCTCGTGGAAAAATTAATGGCGTCACTCTCCACAGAGTTCCTATAAATGTAGTAAGACGGATTAAGATGTGTTTACGTCAGGGTTGGGAACACTGTAAACATGTGTTTCAGCTCCGTAATTATAACCTCAATTTTTCTGTAATCTAATATGTATAATAGACGTGACATTAAACTTTTGTTGGTGTGACTTTTGGGACGCTGTAGTTTAAATCATTTATATTTCTACTGTACTGCAAATAAACTGCAGCAGACAAGTGAAATACATGATTAATATATTCCATTGTTCACTAATCGAGCCACAATTACGAAAGGAAAATTGTAGCCATTTGGCACCTAATTTCCTTTCTGTTACTAATATTAACATAGTAAAAGGAAATGAACTTGTGCTCCTCTCTCTGATAGAGCTTCAGACGTTTATTTCTGTGTTTTATTCATTCCTTGCGTTTATGGAATTACAAATTTTAAGAGCATAATTTTTCGTAGGGTGAGACGGACGGAGTTTGTAGCATGGAAGATATGAGAACTACATACATCTAGAAAGTTGTAATTGGTAATCTTGTGATAAATGGAAGGTTAAAAGTAATTTTTTTTAAAGGAAATAGATTATGTGGGAAGGGTTCAACTGTCGACTTTTGTGAATAAGGTAATGAATATTATGGCTCCATAAAGGCCACACATTTCATGGCCAGGTGAGAGAGTAATAAATATCAAGAAGGACCCTGCTGAATAGAGCTTTGTTTGTCGGCTTATTTTTATGTAGTGTAACCTAATACAGAATGTGTGTGTGTGTAGGAGGATACAACAATGCGACAGACATGCTTAGTGGCGAAAAGTATGACCCTGCAAAAGACACATGGACTAAGATCCCTGATACGTGCTACTACCCACGCAAAGACTTCAACGCAGAAGTGGCAGACGACATGATCTTTGTCATCGGTGGACATGATGGCGAATTCATCTTCGGTGTCGAATGTTTCAATGACATGGAATATGAACGGTTTGTTTGCTTGATTGTTCAGGACTGTATCATCACAAACTGTTAATTTTGAAAAGCACTAGTACGTGAATCACTTCCGGTCAAGATAACCGCAGTATCGTATTAACTGACCGACGTTTCAGAGGTTCTTACTGCTTACTCAGGGGATTGAATGCAACGCGCAAGAAATGGGTGGTAGGAGGGGGTTGAATGAAAGCAGGTAGGGCGATGTTGCGGTCAAGTTGAATCGTTAAAAAAGATAGCAAATAACTAGGTAATCCTAATCACACATGAAAGGTAATTGCATTAGTAATAAACTCTTTGACTTACTTTCTTTGATCAGGGTTACTCTCTTAGGCAGGAGTGTCTGGCGTTCAACTCATCAGCATCACCATAATCATCGACTTTCATCACAGTGTTAAGCCAGTTTCAGATTTATTCATCTCATGCTCTCTTTTTGCATGGAAGTTCATTTGGAAATGGCTGTCACTTGATGTGTTTCACCATGTAATCTTGTGCCATCCAAAACGTTGGTCAGTATTTATTAAATAACATGATGAAACATCCCAGAAGACAGCTTTCTTCATACTCGTCTGTGTAAGAGCCAGAAATCTCATAGAAATTCATTTGTTTTTAGTTATTGTCTGTTTTCATCCAACAGAGCATCTCCAGAACTATTTTTGGCAAATAAAACCCACTAAATTTTTAAAATATATTGCTAAAAGAGGGAAATATTGTTATGAGCGTGTATCTCAAATAAAACACGCGTCTCTCTCCAAAAAATGTGTGTCATTAAAGTATTATTCTGACCGAGGATAATGGCTTAATGAAGTTTACCAGACATAGCTAACGCAGAACACAATTCATTTGACAACGTTTTAAATTAGTCATAATCTCTCCCTCCATTTTGATGTAATAAAATTCATTATGTTATAATATCATGTGGTCGGTGTTCTATGTGTATATGAGTAAAACAAAGATCACGTGGGAACTGTTCTGAAATATGGTATGGGAAGTGCACTGAAATCCCATTGAGGGACTTTTTTTTAAGGTTGTCTGGAAACAAATTACAAGCAACGACGTTTCGGTGGAAGCCTTTGCCTTCAGCTTCAAGTAGTTTTCCCTTCTACTCGAAGACAGAGCATTTATTTTACAGAACTCTCTGATATTTTAGAACCTCAAAAGAAAACGTTTATATATTTTCAAGAAAAAGGATAATTTCTTTACATAAATGCACTGACATTCAAAATACATTTCTATTAAATTTATATTAAATAAATTATTTGTGGTAGAAGACGCATTCCTTCGTGAGTTACATCATCTCATGTAGAGCTACATATTTTCTGTAACTGTGTCAGTGAAATGTGATACAAATTGTCCTGAGTGTAGATAATACTGATGGATGATGAAAGAGGGTTTGTTTTCACTTTTAATATTTCAAATTGCAGGTACTGGGAGGGAGAAATGAATGTTTGCAGATCGTGGATGTCGACCTGTGTAATAAAGGACCTGCCGAATGTAAAAGATTACATTTATAAGAACAGATACAGACTACTAGAAGAGAAACGTCAAGAATTGTTGGCTCTTGAAACTCCGTGGCAGCAGGAGGAACAGGACATCCAAGCCTTAGACGACAAACTCGACGAACACAGTTTTAATTACGCTCCTAAAGAAAGTTATGGTGAGGACTGGGACACAATGTAAGATCTGCTAAGAGAAATAAAGAGAAATATCGTTTGCAGCAAAGAAGGAAAACATGAGAGTTTGGCAACTGGTCTATGAAGCTGATTTTTATTCCTTGTGTTGGCACTGTGTATAGCAGAATTATTTTGAAAAAGTTCTTGGTTTAATATTTTGTAACTTTATTTATAAAGTACTTGAAAGTCGGTGTCACCAAACTCGTATAAAACCAAGACGACCGACCACCCTTATTTACTCTCTGAACTTGAGTCTAGTCAGTCTCCATGCCAGAAAGAACTCGCCACTAAGTGTTCATATCCGACCAAATTTACTACCATAGGTTACTGATCAGATTAAAGAGACCCATTTAGCAACGTGGATGTGTACCATCTATGCACTTTACTTGTGACCTGCAATGTACCTGGGTGGCCTGCATTCTGCTGTACATGGCAACTATTTAGCCAATACGAATAATCTATTTATGTTAGACAGGCTATATAGTAACCGTAAGTTTGTTCCTGAGGCTCAACTAAGAACCATGACATCAGGAAGTGAAGTGTAATTTCACACATTCTTGAACCTGACAGTGGTCAGCTTTACACCCAAAAATCTTCAGACTTCTACAGCTGTTGGTAAATAATGTTTCTGTTCTTGGATGAGAATCAGTCCAACACAATGCAGTGTTATCATCCCAAACTGTGAATTGAATGTTCTGATACACTGACTCATGCCTTGCACATCAGGCAAAATGCCCAAGTCAATATCATTCAACATTTCTTAGATAGGACAAAACTTGCCAATTCAAGGGCATTTTCAGCTAGCTTTGGATGAGGTCAGTTTAAATGATTTTGGGTCAGCTAGTAATACCTGTTATGCTGAGTATGCATTTTTTGCACATTTTAACAATGCGTCCTTTCCAATACTCATAAATGAGCTGGTCCTAAAACTGATTGCTGTTTCAATTCTATATGAATCGTGCATATTCTTGTTCTTCAGTAAAATACATGTCAGCTGTGCGTGTCACAAGCATTTACCTGAAAATTGTGACCTCATCCACATGCACATAAAATTTGTTGTGAAAACTGGAAAATAGCAGTTTTTTCATGTAGCAGACATGTCACCCAAGTGTGCAACATGGAGGATCAGTACCCACTTCTAAGCTGTTATAAAGGTAAAATCTTCTAGGAACATGTATGTGTTGTCAACTTAGGAAGATTCCTGAATTAATAATTAATTATAAAAGTAAATTAACATCTGCAAAGACCAAAAATTACTAAAAACACAATAATTTTATTACACCTTCTATTACTTTCTCCAAAATGTTAAAATCTTTTATGAAGTTGAACTTAATGTAACATAAAACGCTATGGCATTTATACATCTACATTATGTACTTTACAAATGTCTTCATACTCCACTTTATCAATTATTCTGCCTTTCAAGAGACCTGATGAAATTTCAATCGTTACACCGAATTTCCTTTCATCCAATTCCTTAAGTATGGCTCTGCAACCACGGTAAGCTCCATTTACAACAAGTACAGGCTGCCCCAGTGCCGGTATCACTGTCTGAAGGTGCACTTCGTCTAGTTTCAGTTTGTGTCCACAATGAAACATTGACACAATAGCTACATATTTGTTTAACACCCGAGTCACAACACCCTTCTTTTTGTAGTATTTGTCACCCAGAGATTTTTCTATCACTTTCACAATAATTCCTTCAACCAACCAATAATCTCGTATATACTGATTGAGCCAGGATAGCTGTCAGTATATTGACTAGCTGCGGATGACTAGCTGCGGACTGGACGACCGGGCCTTTCCCGGGTGTAAATCACGGCCGGGGCGTGATGCTGACCACTCACCCCCATCTAGTGCCGAAGTCAAGGAAGAGAGGAGCTATACCTCCACTCACCCCAAACGCCTATACGGCACATAGCGGGACAAACTTAAAAGATGTGGCATGTTCTGTGAACACTATTTTTACTTGAGTTTGTATGTTTACAAAAATATAAATACTCTAACTTGATCTTACGATGTGCACTTATTTCGTTGTTAATTAATGTTTGGATGATCATTTCAAATGTTATGGGTTGGCGTTGAAATGCAACCTTTATGCTGCGATATTGGTCTTCTGAGCTGCGACGTCTCGAAGGCACATGCTGCCTCCATCTTTAACATGCCACATCTTTAGACTATATAATCACAGACTTGGTGGATTTAAAAATGAGCTACTTCTCTTCTTCAAGCTCACTGTTGTAGCTGTGTCAGAGTCCAATGGCTGGCCGTGGTGTTGCGAAAATTGATGCTGATCACACATGACTTCTGGTGATTTGCATCAAAGGCAACGCAGACATCCTGCGATTGCCAGGAGGACCATTCTGAAAATTAAGTACATTATTAGCTGCTGAGCACGAAGCTCTTAGCAATACCCCACATATCTTGTGGGCCGTTCTTCGGCCTACGATGTTGTAGCTGGCGGCCAAATTGTAGCTGTGTTTTACTGTGGGGCCCAAATTCGATCATAGGTCAGTATAAGAGTAGTGGTGGATAAAATGGCATTGGGACAGGTATTTCTCTGAGTCCTTCTGGTTTTCCCTGTCAGTATCACTCCACTGCTGCTCCATATTGACTCATGTATCATCTGGGGGATGGGCAATGGATCTTTTAGCTTCTGCAGTGTCAGAGAGACAAATCTCACCTTAACCACAACAATGAAGAGGAAACAGCAGTCTAGAGGTTGTGAGTGAAGATGGAAGATTTTAATACTTGTTTTATTAAATCAAAAATGTTTATTCTGTTATTACTCAAATAAACAGTTGAAGTTGTTTATCTTGAGATTTATGTCACACACGTGTTCTGTTTTAGTGACTTTCTTAACCAAACTTTCAGACCTGATTCAGACACACATTTTGGTTCAATTCGAAAAAGAATAGGCTCTAACTGCAATATTTATTCTCTTAAATTGTTTGAACTATTTTCTGCAGGAAATAGAGCGGTATGCCGAACACCCTAGGTGCTTGGCAAACTGATAAAATGTTCTCTTTGACAGTCTGTGCATCCTCATTTATGGTATTATCGGTACATTGTGGCTTGGTATTCTGCATGTGTTGACCATTTTCTTATAGGTTATAAATTCAATACTTTATATGGGCATTCAATCAAGAAGTATGATTATACTATTTGCCCCATCCCCCAAATAAATCAACCTGTTTCACCACACTTGATAGGCAGTTTAATTCACTAATCATGTTGGCAGCGATTAAATCATTTAAATTTTTACGGTGCAGGTTACAATGATGGTAGGAATTTTTTTCTTTTTCAAGTAAGTAGAGAGACAAAATAACCATTAATGCAACTTAAAAATAAGATCAGCACATTTTAATGAGTACTTGCTTCATAAGCAGTGAAGTGTCTCCCTCTGTCACAGACACAGCTCGAAATACGCTTCCCCAATCTAAGGTGGCATGGGACTTTTCACTTGTTTTCATAAACGGCAGCAAGGGTGAAATTATGCAATCAGGTGTGTTGTATGGGTGTAAAACTTGGTCTCTCATGTTAAGAGAAAAAATGCAGATTGAGGTGTTTGCGAATAGGGTGCTTAGGAGAATATGTGCACCTAAGAGGGACAGAGTGGGAGGAAGTTGGAGGAAACTGTATAATGAGGAACTTCACAACTTGTCTTCACCAGATATTATTAGGATGTAAAATCAAGTAGGATGAGATGGCTGGGGCATGTATCACATATGAGGAGATGATAAATGCGAAAAAATAAAAAAAAGATAAATGTTTTTAAATCCTAAAGGGAAGACAGGACTTGGAAGATGAGCTTTATCATGCATGGAAAGATGACATTAAACAGACCTTAAGGAACTAAGGTTTAAGGATGAGGACTGGATTCATAGGGCTCAGAATAGGGACTGATGTCAGACTCTGGTGAAAGTAGTAATAAACATTCAGGTTCCATAAAAGACAGGGAATTTCTTCACTAGCTGAGTGACTACTAGCTTTTCGAGAAGGGCCATACATTGGAGTTGTTGACATAACCAAATTATAATTTTACACTTTTCAGTAATATTTTTATCTATGCCTGTTCAAAGCAGTATAATATGAAATAATTACATACACAACCAAAAATTTTGATACATTTTAAATGGCATTACATTTATAATACATACATCTAAAGTTTTTTCATCAGAATGTGGGGAAAATAAATAGGCCTATTTATATTTTAAAAGCAGCTAGTAAAAACTGTTTGAGATGCAACTAACTCTCCGGCAGAATTCTATTGAATTATCAGTCTTTTTAAAAATTATTTCTCTCATAACTCGTTTTCTCGGTGGACAAGTTACCTTGTCATGTTCTTTCGACTCCAACCTGATAAATATAGTACATCTGACGCTTAAGTTCTTTTTATACGTGCTTTACAGAGATTTTTGTACAATTGTTTGCGAAACTCAGACCACATTTCTGATAGAGAAGTTATGGGAAAAACTCCGGATCATTGCTGACATTATGTTCTGTGATTTATACATTCTACTTACGTAGATGGTAACACTGAAAATGGGTTGGTGTTTTGTTTAGTACCAATCACAGATAACTTGTTACCGACCTTCCGTTAGTTGCAGTGTTTTGAGGTTATGGAGTTGGAGTTATTTTGTTTTCGCTGATGGGCTGATTGTGATGGCGTCTGCGACTGATCTTCAGGGTATATTGAAGGGCGTGTTGAAGAAAAGGTTTTTTCGTTATGGCATGCCTTTCTTATTATTTGTAGTTGGTGGGTCATTTGGATTAAAAGAATTCTCGAAGCTAAGGTGATAATCTCACTGTATAAATGTGTTTAGTTGAAGTAAGATTTATAGTTGTAAATGGGTGTAAACAAAACGTAGTGAACAATCTCATTATGGACAAATTATCAGTCAAATGTGACGCTTGCCGAAGAAAAGTCAATAAAGTTGTATTATGTGATATTTGTAATTGGTGGTTCCATTGGGAATGTGCCAACACCACTATTAGTGTCGTAGATCTAACAGAGCCATGGTTTTATTTGATGTATAAACAAGTTAGATCCCTTTGAGAATTATTACTGTCAAAACTACATTTTTATGGAATTCGAAATGAAGCTGGTCAGTGGTTTAAATTATACCTTCATGACAGAAGGAAATAAGTAGAAGTAAAGTAACTAGATTCAAATATAGCACCTGTTAAAATTGGTGCATCATAAAAATGTAGTTCCTCAAGGATCAGCACTCGGTATACCAATGATTTACCACCAACCATTAACTCTCAGTCTAAACCCATACTTCTTGTGGATGATATCAATATTATTATCTCACATCCAGGAATTGACTGTTTCCAAATTTTGGTGAATTATGACTTTGCTAGCTTGAATCGTAATATAAAGAAGTTAAGCCAGCCTGAAAAGAGTATGTTCTATGTAATTCCTCCTCCTTCATAGAAGAATTTACCTCAACCAAAAATTCTCAGCTGTGCATGTAAGCAATAGTGGTTATGCTTTGTTGTGTAATTATTTTGGGGTAATTCTATATTTGACTGTAAATTACTGTCATAACTATATTATTTATATTTGCATTGGAAACAAGTATTGTATTTATGCTATGACATATTCTACATCCTTGGCTTAGGCCTATGATGAATCTGTGGATAGTAAATAAATTTTATTCTGTTCCATAATGTAAAAGTGAGTTGTTTCTGGTTACTGAAGTGTGCTGTATGGACTTCACACAAGAATGAGATTAAGCCTTTTATCAAAATAAGTGAATTTAAATGGGACCATCACATTGTTATCAGCTAGGTTTGAATTCAGCATACAAGGAGAAAAATTGAAGTAGTGTTCAGATCTGTAGAATTTTGTATAATTTGTTTACATTTTATTGAACCTTTATAGAACTAAGTGAAGGCTGTTGGTAATGTTGTGTACAGGTGTCTCATTTTACACTGTGGTGTGGCACCACTGATGATGATCTCGAGGTTGAAACACGTCTGGCACAATGTGTTTTAAAGTGTAAAAAGTTGGTTTGTATATGTGTTTTTATATATACAAATTAATTTATACTGAGCTGTGCTTAAATCTCAGATATATATTACTTGCACAAGTGACTTAACTGTTTCCGTGATTATACTGAGATATCCTGGTTTGATTGTTCGGGTTATGAAGAAAATACGTATATGAAAACTGTAGATTTCGGTACATTCATAAACAACTTGCCATTTTTATGCTAGGTTACTTGTGATTGGTAGGATTTTGATGCTTCTGTTGCATGTGTCATTAAGTTTCCACACTAGCTGTATTGTCATTTGTGTGCTGTGATTGTGAAGAAGCTAATTTTTTCAAATAATGGAAATTGACCCAAGATGTGTAGGATTTGAGGTTTTCACAGCGGTGAGTATGAAGATTTCTGTCTTCTGGGTTGTTGCGCTGTGTAGTCTGGTCGATGTTTACCAACGTTTTAGAGGTCATACTGGCTCTGTCATCAGGGCGATAGGAGATTCTGTCTTCTGGGTTGTTGCGCTGTGTAGTCTGGTCGATGTTAACCAACGTTTCAGAGGTCATACTGCCTCCATCATTGCCCTGATGTCGGAGGCAGTAACCCAGAAGACAGCAATCTTCTGACCCAAGATAATTTGGAATAATATCCATTACAAGTATATATAAACAGCATTTTGTACAATATGATTAAATATTTGTCCTCAAAACACACATTATCAGTAATTTAATTTTTATGAATATATATTAAATGTGAAATAAATAAAAACATATTTTTGGTCTTATTTCCAGAAGAAATTAATCAGGGAAAGGGGTTAGCAGCATCTGTTTACCAATAATTACCCCTCACTATTCTTAATACGAGTATTTTTATACTTGCCGTGTTGTGTTCACTTGCCCATGGAAAGTGGACATTTTTTATGTTAGATTGCTATTGAGTATTATGAAAGGTTGTATCAGTTATTCATTTAGTCTTATGAAACTCCTTTTCATACCATTGTACCCACACAAAGTATAACCATGTTCTTTACTTCTTTTGTGAAGTGATCAAAGCTGTACAGGGGTGGGTTATTTCAGAGTTCTGTTTCTTTTAACTTTTATTCCATAAATCATCACCGTTTATCAGTTGTTAGTTTCATTGATGCTAAAGGATGCTGGCAATTAATGCAACATTTATTTCCTACCTGAACATGTCTAAAGGAGAGATTTATTTACTTTCAGATATCAATTCTCAAAGCAGTCTGCAATGAATCCAGAAGTGGCAGAGAAATATGGAGTTCAAATGAAGAAGACAGGTGAAGTTACTTTAGAAAGTGAATTTGAAAAAATAAAGAAGGTAAGCATGTGCTTTATAAATTTAAAATATTGCACATAGTAAGAATAAAGATTATTGTATAACTTTGTTTTTTAATATAATTGATTCTTCCACATTTACATACTTAAAAGTATTTGTTACTTTGTTTCAGTATTTTGTTTTTCATACATGTTTTTTGTATATATTTACATGGAATAATCTGATACAATATAGTGTGTGGGCTGAATACTCTTGATCAACTTTAGAGTTAGCTATAGGCAGCAAACAACATCACTTTCATGGTGGCATTTAATCACAAGTTCTGTTGTTCATTTCAGTGTAATTTTATTTGTGTAGTTATTAATAGCCCCTTCACATGAAGTTACTTATTTAAATATTTTATGGATGGTGTTGCATCAAATAAGTGACTAATGCAGGAGCTTTAACCGTATTAAGATTATACCATCTTGAATGAATTATCATAAGTCAGTGGGCTATAAACTGGTCAACTTGGATTTACTTCCTGGTGGGGTATTGGGAATTTTCTCCACACCAACACAACCAGCGTGATATCTGGTCGGTAATGGGGAGGGACTGTTGCCAACAGTATTGTGGTCGGAACATGTGAAGGTGAGCATTCACCTACTGTTCGTGAATGTAATCTTGAGACTTGCAAGTAATGCAGGAAGTCTGAAGCATTAAAGGCTGGCGCTATCTTTCCTCCTTCACCCCATTTCCTCACCCCACAAGTCATACAATTACAGTCATGAACAGTACATAGTGTGGTGCTTGCCTGACAGTGTCATCTTCACACAGCACTATAATAATTGCTTGTCATGTAGTTGGCGCAGTAGTTTTTCGCCGGTGGAATTTTCAAGGGGAATGCTACGAGCGAGCCACTTGTGTGATAGTATAATGCTGACTGCACCGAGGAGCTTATCGGACTGAACGCCCAAACAAAAGAAATACACTGACCGTGCCACCTCAGGTACACAGAGTAGGCCCGTCCGCCAGCTCCGCTAGCTTCTGCGTCGACTGTACTAACCAGCAGGTTTGTGAGATGTGAGGTTTTCAGGGTGGTAGGGATGATGATGTTCTTCTGGGTTTTGGTGCTATGTAGACTCATCAGTAGATGCCAGCATTTCAGATAAGCATAGTCACCATCTTCATCCTGAAGTTGGAAACAGTGTGTTTCTTCAAAATATTGGCATCTACCAACAAGTTTTGAACATAATTTTGTAATAGGTTATTTACACAAAGTCTGTGAACACCTCATTCTAAGGGCTAATTCCGTATGGAAGAAAATATGTTTGCTAGTTAGAGGAGTAAAACCAAGAAAAACTTGGGCAGAAAGGGCTTGAAAGTTGTGATGAAGACATTTTCTCCAGGTGATGAGCACTCCAGAGCAAACAGATATCTGTAATTTGGCTTCTCTGTGTCAGATGTGGATATTGAAGACATCTTTTCTTACATTGGTGACACGGCTTCAAGGCAAAGTCAGATTATCAACAAATGCACCTACAGTGGCACCACTGGCAACTCTAACAGTAAACTATTAGTCTTTCTCCCTTACGTTTCTCTGGAATTTTGGTAACAAAACGCGACCACATGGCATCATTATGTTTCAAGGGAATTTATCACCTCCATCTTCTACCCTGAATGTGGAGCCCGTAACTTCCTATGAGACGTTGATAACCACCTTCAAGACTACAAAGTATCATAATCAAGAAAACCATAACTGAAATTTTCATCACTGTGAAAATGTTAAATCTCACAAATCAGTGCTTTACAGTTTAGGAGTCAGGGTAGCTCAGTCGGTATAGTGTCTGATTACAGACTGGATGACTGGGGTTTGTTCCCCAGCAGGAACATAGGATTTTTGTTGTAGCGTCTGCCTCCAAACCAGCTCTGGGCCCACCCAGCCTCCTGTCAAATGGGTATGGGGTCTTTCTTTGGGTGTAAAATATAGTTGGAGCATGATTTTGACCACTTTCCCCATCTAGTACAAAGGTCAAGAACAAGTAGTAGCTGTATATTCTCTATCACCAAGTGCTTCCAGGTTGTGTAGTGGAACAGCTTTAAGTTTACAGTAGTTCTTATTAGATAGCACCAAGACTCTTGACTACTTTTGTAGTATAAGTGCAGTGTTATGTTCTGCTAAAATCTGTATAATTTGCCGGCTTTGAATGACTGTCAGTTGTCTTTGTAGGTGAAGTTTCCCAAAGCAAAAGTGACAAGCAATTCTTTATTTTTATGTGATTTTTAAAGTAACTCTTTCATTAATTTTTGTATACTTTTAAATAGGTGTATGTGTGGGTACATTTATTTGACACTTTGATGTTGCTTAAGACTTATTACATTCCACAGTACCACATACTTTTGTGTTTATTTCAGTGTGTTTGTTTTATATAACTCCTGATATGAACTATGATTTGTAAGTGGTAGGCACGTATAATTGCATACTTGGAGTATCTGTAGACCCGTAAGATTTGAGGTTTTCACAGCGGTGAGTATGAAGATTTCTGTCTTCTGGGTTGTTGCGCTGTGTAGTCTGGTCAATGTTAACCAACGTTTCAAAGGTCATACTGCCTCCGTCATCAGGGTGATGACGGAGGCAGTATGACCTTTGAAACGTCGGTTAACATCGACCAGACTACACAGTGCAACAACCCAGAAGACAGAAATCTTCATCTGTTAACCCCATGTAATAAATGGCTGTCCTTAAAGAAATAACATTTTCATTTCCAGCTTGATATTGATAACTGGACCAACATTCGAGGGCCTCGGCCAATGGGAGAATGATGATCAGCAAAGAGAGTCTGCACCATGAACATAATGGAACCATGAATATTGGACTGGGGTGCATTAGACGGTAGTATAAAAGCGTTTGTTTTATGTTATAATATTATCGTATGAGCTGATTACATACAAATCTGAACTTGCTTTTGTGTTGAAGATATTTTTTAATTATTAAAATATTTAATATTGTGATGTACCTAAAATATTTATCCTTACAAATTGTGCATATTGCATTAATATATTTATCAAAAAAGTCCACCCTGCTTCTTTTCTTTGACTTATGTACCATCTATGGTTTATACGATTTCTATAGTCTGTTTCCTTTAAACATGAGGAAATTTTTTATACAAAATCTGTAGCACATTCTACAACCACTCTCCCTCAATACCATATTTCATGAGCCTATGCAGTATTGGAGATCATTTGTCCATCTTTAATCCAGATCTTCAGTTATCTTAGCCAGATTAAAGTAAAGTTAATTTTCCTCTGTTCATACAAACAAATGCAGGGACAAAAGTCTTGGAACAGGCCGCAAATGCTTCCTTCCACATTCTTTCTAAGTCAAAATTCACTATCACCTTCTCATTTTTGCTATATTACACATGCTCCAATGTCTTTTAATTCCTGGAAATATTGTTGGAAGTATTTTTGTTAAAGTTCTTTCAGTGGTCATCAAATTGCTTTGAGTATGTTCAATGTGGCCCTGTTACTTAAATTTCAGTTTTTGGGACACAAGGAAGTTGGAGGGGGTAATATTTGTGAAGCAATGAAGATAATAAATTGTCTATATCCACACATGAAGTTGTACAAACTTTATAGGCTCACACATTTATTTAATTTTTACAATATTGGGCGACATGTTTTGAACTCTTCAGTTTATCATCTGCCCCAACTTGTTATCCACAATACAATTCTACAGTATTCTGTTACATTAATTAAGTTCATATTATGAAATGATTAAAATATGCTATGAACTTGAAACGGCTGTCTTCTAGGTTGCAACGTAGTGTATTCTGGTAGAAGTACAGCAGTTCTTTCAGAGGTACTTTCTGCCTTCATCATCAGGGCAGTGATGGAAGCAGCATGTACCCCTGAAACTTCTGCCAGACTACATGGTGTTACAACGCAGAAGGCAGCCATCTTCATTCTCGCCACTGTGAGAATCTCAAATCCTACATTCTCAGAACTTCTTTTTATATTTTCGTAAATAGTATTCCTATATTGTTTCTATATTTGTGTGTATTCATATGTATTTACCTAGGACCTATGAGTGCACATACAAGTTAACAGTATATCAATGTCATACATACTGTTTTGCTGTCCAAAAAATAAAATGATTCAAAATAATTTTGATCACCAATGAGTCCGTGGAAATCGAACTGTGCTGTACACCACATCCTTCAAGTAACCCCACAAGAAACAGCTTGGGTTAAAAATGTCGAAAGTGCGGGGGAGGTACTTGAAAGATCTTCTTCGTCTCTTACATCGGTGGAAAGAAGTTTTGTCAAGATAGGCCCTGACATCACGGTGGTCACGTCGTAGTGCCTTGTCTCATTGATACCGCATGCCCTCATCTCCATGTATCTGACAAACGGCAGGAGCAATGGATCCTTTGAAGCATGTTCAGGTACTCAGCAGCAATTAATGCCCTTTCAATGTAGAACGGTCACACAACACTCGTAGGTGACACACACACACTGAATATCCTGGTAAATTCACTGCTTTGTCGACATGAACATTAAGATTTTTAAAAGACAATTATGCCGGTTCTCTGTACCATTCAGCCCAAATGTCACCTCAAATGCCCAGTCATGCCCACCTTCCTCTGAATCCATTCAAAAAACTCAAGTTTGCTGTCAGGATTGTCTTTGGTCATTGCATGCCCTAACCTTGTCATGTGGCATTTTCACATGGGTGTCATGTTTACCTGATGAATCCCCGGCCGACAACACTGGTGCCGTATGCAAAGGACAGATTCTGGCGAAAGCGTTACAACTGTTACGCCGTATGTGGATTTTCGAACCAGTTTCTTTGTATCAAAAACCTTTGACCATGTAAGCAATGGACTGGAATTCATTTCTGAGATGGAAGCGCTCATAAGGCGGATTCTGTTCCTACCAAAGATGCGGTAGCAATGTGAATGATGGCCGACGGAGGGGAGTCCCAACCACGAGTGTATTTTTCCTATTCCCTAAGTTTTATCAAGGGCAGAGGTGATGGCTTCAGTTTGTGAGCAAAAAATTTCGTACATTTGACTGGGGTTTGAAATTACAACCGTGTTAATGAGAAACCGGTGTCTTACCCAAGAACAAGATGTCAGCAGTTTTGTTAATGCTCATTGATTTATTTAGGGGGGGCGAGCTATATCGGGGCTCTTCAATAGTTCCACAAATTAATTACCTTCACCACCACGCAGTTCGCTAGTGAATGATGTAGGTCTACTGATACCCCAGAGACAACAAAATGGTTAAATTCAGTTCAGGTTTCACCAGAGGCCACCACTGTTGTTGCAAAGCATCTTGTTAGGAAGGTGATAATTAACTGTGGAAACATGGTATCGAAGACGCTAAATGCTCCACAGGAAAAATATTATAAAATGAATTAACTTGTGCCTACTGCGAAGAAAACAAAGTATGAACACTGCTGCAATGGACCGTAACAACGAACACAACGGAAGATGGCAAAGGTCTCCATCTCGTGCTGAAGACGGGGTTATCAGCTGCAGACCAGATCACAGTGAACGCGATGGTAATGTCAGTAAATGGAGGCCCTCGCGTTGCTCTGTCGCCCAACTCCGCAGATAAACTATTTATTTAATATCTTATTTAAGTTTATTCTCCCGTCAACACCTTGGTCTTCCAAGTAGTCTCGTTCCTTGAGGTTTTTCGGTTGGAAGATCGTATTTTTACACATTTAAATTCGTCGGTTATTGATCTACATCATCTGTCAATATTAATTTGATTTAGAACATGAGTAGGTTGCATTGCAGTACATACATCTTGTTATATTTATATGAGAATGACGTTAAAGGAAGTGTGCTTGTACTTAGTCTTTACTTACAGGTCTACATAGAATGGCTGAAGATTCACGGCGTATTTACATTCGCATGTCCTTAGTGGTCCTGTGACTATTTGCGTGATATCATTACCTTAGGCCTAGGTATGTGTCGTTTACGTTTTGTGGTTTATTTGACAATACTTAATATTGTGCATAGATTATATCTTCGGTACTCGGCAGGAAGGACTTAAGTCAGTACAAATGGCGTTCTGCTCGAGTCCTTTCGGGTCGAACACTACAGAACATATAAAATAGAAGGGCGGAAATTAATGTTGAAACGGATGTGGAAATAAGCGCTCGTGGTACCGTCCGGTAGGGTCTTAGAAACCGACGTAAAATTTCGTATATTCATGGGACCTTACGAATAAGAAGAAGTGCTGTACATAACCATGCTTGGTGTTTGTGTATTTAAATTCTGTTTGTGATTCTACCCTGAAATTATTTTGACAATCCCAATTTTTGAGATAATACCGTGTTCTGCGAAGGAAGGGAGATAGGGAGGAGGGTTGGAAGAAAATGAGGAAGAATGGAAGAAAGAGTAAAATAAAGGGAAGGACGTGGAATAAACTAAATGACTGCATTTGTGAATACAGATTTTGTTTCGGTGCGATAGAGCAAAATTCCTCTGCTCAAAGCGCGTACCAAATTAGGTGGATCCTGGAAGTTAATGAAATTTAGTCCATTGTTTGTTCGGAATTTAGTATAAAATGTGGATTATTCCCACTGATCAAGGTTTAAATTGAAATTGTGAAGTCATTTTTTTGTTCTTGCCGTTACGAACATACCAAGTTAATCCCACAAGTTATAGAGCTCACCGAATAAAATATCTCATGTTACAGACATAAGTTCGCTTATTTATAAAACCATTCAGATAGTTTTTGTATAGGGACTGCGGTAAACGCTGACAATGCTCGTAATTCGAACATCAGCACTTCCAATAGCTGAAATATTAAAATATTTTTGATTTGCGGCAATTCCGAATATTTTTATAACAATGTAAAATGGCTAAATAGTGGAGTGCCTAATACTCAGTTTCTACGCCAGGAAAGCCTCTGTGATACATTCATCGTCTTCTCTAATAGGTAAAACGGACTCTTCTCTGCAGTAAAGGTGGCTGGAGCGTGAGTCTGACTATTAAATCTTTTGAAGTGCCGAGATGTAAATTGTGCGCGGCTTTACCAATAGCCCTGTGTAACTTTCTAATATAACTCATTTTATGACGATTAAAAAAAGTAAGGGCGATATTAGAATATTTTTGTTTAAGATTGGCAACACTGCTGAGATTAGGTCATGCTGTGGTTCAAGATCAGACGATGGCATGCTGGAAATGAGGTTCAGTTGTAGGGTATTTGCAAATGTATTGGGGGAAAACGCTGGTGGCAGGCAATTAAGGGGTTATCCCACATTTTGAGAGCTGCTTGGAGGTTAAGGACTCCTCATTGTAAGAATCCAGCTTGTTCCGAAATACTGTAATAAAGCTACGTAGGTCTAGAGGGAGTTTCAGGGAACAGGATGAGTGTAGACTCAATTCCTTAGTTTTAGTATAGACTTAAGGATCACTCACAGGCTCTTGTGAACACAAATTAACTTTCCGATTTTCATTGCAAGCGGGGAATTTAGTGAGAGGCCGAAACACTTTGTGAAGAGATTCCGCCCTTCTGTACTGGTTTCTGTGTGGCCATTAAAACTGATAGCGGTTCTAGCAAAAGGTTTTATCATCTCCGCCGGATAAATATTGGGAACGTACCAGTACGTTTAAAGAGGCCAAGACCGCTTCCTTTTAAATCCTTTCCAATTCATTACACATTAGCCATTCTATCATTTGAGACTATAGTATAGCTTGAGCTATTTACAACGAAAAGAAGAAAATACATTGCTATTATTCAGTCATCGGACCCTGGTGGACCACAAGAAGGTGACGCTGACATCAAAGTAGGAAGCTATGGGAGACGTATTCTAACCCGATGGAGGACACATCTTCAGAATATGATAGTTGTTAAACCAGGCAAGTAACCTCCGGCCTTTTATTGAACCCAACGCTTAATTTCAGTGTTAACAAAAGCCGTACACTGAACTCCACTCTGAGCTAGATGAATCCAATCATCACATTCACAACTTGTTTCTTTAAGGTCCGTGTTAATGTTCACCTAATGTCTACGCATCGGCGTTCGAATTGGTTTCTTCCCTTGTGTTCGTATACTAAAATTGTATATTCGTTCATTCCATGCCCTGATCATGTTATCATCTTTAACTTCATTATGGTAACCTAACCTAACAAACTGATTCTTTATGAAGAGTGTGGGATTGTTTCTGTTCTGTACGCTTCCTGTGTCACGGGAACAGCGAAGTAGACGATGCAATTTCGGTTTGTTTGGCGCAGGAGGACCGAGAAAATGCATCCCTTAACTCATTCTGGCAAGTTAAGTAAAAACGATGCACACTCGTTGCCCTTGTGAAAGAGGCATCCTTGCGCTTCGACTGTTTGAGTAGAGACTTGACCTGCTTGAGCCCTTGTATACTCACTACGATCTGTGAGTTTATTATTCCAATCGAGTTATATAGAATTTCAACAGTCAATAAATATTTTAATATGTGTTGCGTGACTTTTCGAGAGAAAATACATATGGCGATAAAATCGAGGAGAAAAGATGGGAGGGTTACCTAACATGCATTGAAGAGGTGGGAAATAAATACAAACATTTAGTCCGAATATCTGGAGGAAAAAGACCACTTGGAAGATGTAAGTGTGGATATAAGATAGGTTTTAAAGAAAGAGGATCATCAAGTAGTGGTGTTAAATTTGTTGATTTTGCCCATGATAGGATCAAATGACGGATTCATGTGAACCCGGTAATGTACCTTATAGTTTGAGGAATGTATTGACTATCTAAGCGGATTATCAGATTCTCAGTAACCACTGTGTGTGAGTTCTGTTTATCGTTGGTTTTGCAGACGATTATGAGGAATTTCCCATGCTGTTGGGGTAGCAGCTGAACTTAACATGCTTCTATAATATTGATCAGAATAGGACTCGTGGCAAAAGACGCCACGTGTCTGCAGAAGTTACGTAGTTGCATGTGATGTCCCACTGAGACTTCGGGCTACTAACTTTACCGAAGAATCAACATTCACAGTGCAGGATGACGGATATTTGATAGTCGTGAGACTTTGCTGAGAGACTGTTCTCGTCTTGTAATACGTCTCTCTTCGGATGGGAAAGAACTCGCTCACATTACTTCGGAGTTATCGTTGTTTTCACTGCTGAAGTTACTTTGCGACGTTGCAAAATGATAATACTGGCATATAATGCGTACACAATATAATAGAATACGTAAAAATGTATATTTTTAACAAATTTTGAAACTTATGAACGGGTTGTATTTCAAGAGTCTGCAAGTTTCTTGTTCGAAACATGATTACCAAAACTTATAATGTTGTAAACGGTTATTATGTTCCCAGTGCAACGCACTGTAGTCTTTTCAACCTGTAATTAAGTAGAGCATTTTAATAGCAAAGTAGTAGAAAGTTTTACACTTTTGATATAAAAAAGAAACACTGAAGTTGGGCATTTATAAGGGCTGCAGCAGTTGGTGGCAGTGGTTAATTTGGGAAAATTATACTGAAGTAACACTTCAGAATCAAAAGAATAACATCATGACTGTCTTCTTGGATGTCTCGTAGAAATTTATCGACGTTTCGGGCATGCATACTACCTACTACTGACACCGCTGTGTAACGCAAGAAGTCTCGAGTTATAGTTCGGAACATATGTAGTGTAACAGTGGAGTGCAATTTAATAATATTTTTTTTGAAATAGGTAACTCTGTTTCTAATTTGTATAATTAAAAGAAATCACGATTTCTCATAGAATAAAATATAATTCGAACATCGCCAATCTTTAACCTTATCTTCACAATGAAAACAATAGAACCATTCATATAAAAACGCATATCATTTGATACTGTGGGAAATATAAATTGTTATTTATATTTTATATAAAACTTTCCCTCCCCCGTACCAGATGAGTGCGACTAGTGAGAGGGATGGTGGATAGATAATGTAGGACACAGTTACACATTTCAGATAAGTATAAATGCATTACGTTAACAAACTTACAACATTTTTATTGTTCTGTTTCATGCCCTTCTATATAAAGTAACGTTAACTGTTGTTAATTAAATTCTGCGTAAACAGAAAATTAATTTAATTTGTATTTTTTATTCTGTATTATAAACACGGTATTTACTAGAAAACAAGTGGTTTTGAAAATTTTACATTGTACTTAATGTTAGTATATTATTTGTAGCGTATAAGCCAATACATAGCGTTCTTTCCTAGTAGGCTGCGTGTTTGTAGTAGGCCTACACGCATGAACAAAAATAGAACAATTCAACATTACAATTTTTTCGGCGTCTTAAATAACACAAGCCACAGAGCAGTTAAGGTAAACATTTGCATAACTGAAATTCGTTGTCTGTGCGCGCTTGTGATTTAAGTATTCTGCCAATTATGAAATGCTATGATTTTGTCTTAGAGATTATGACACGTCGAATTGGCCTTTGTTCTTAAAGTCACACGTTATGAGATTCAAAGTTTACGCATGTTTATTAGTTATTGTTAAGCTAATAGGCGCTAAGCTAGTGAAGAAATTCCTTGCCTTCTATAGAGACCGAAGGTTTATTGCGGTATTTACAAGGGCCTGATACCTGTCCTTATGTTAAATCGCATGAGTCCACTTCATAATTTAATACCATATTTAAGATCTATTTTGTACTGTCTTTCAAAGTTCTTTCTTCGCTTCAGGTTTTTCGACCATAAATGTGAATTAATTTCCTATCTCTTCCATACGTTCTACGTTCCCCGCCTTTCTCAACCTCCTTAATTCTACTTTCACTTGTAGACTTCATTATCGACGTCAAATATCGAGAGTTCATTGGGAGTAATCCCGTATGAAACCGTTTCGGCAGATTTGAGTCACACTGAAAGTAATTATTTTCTTTTCAGTTATATATGTCATGTTCGTTTGCTGCAGTTTATGTATGAAGAAGACTAACGTAGTTTGAATTGTAAGAATTTGTTTTATTTAAATTTAGTTGTACGCTTCATGTAACTATATACGTAGCCTACATCATTTGGCTACAAAAAACAGAAATCCATTTCTATGCCGATGTCACTCTCGTCTACTACAGTCCTTAATCTATTACCTGTCGATAGAATTTAAGTTATCTCTAGTCTATGGAACTGAATTCTAATGAAGAGTTTTTACAGGCTTCCGAGCTTCCCAAACGCGTGTCACATGCCCCACCCACATCACCTTCTTTGGTTTAATAACCCTAATAATGTGTGGCGAAGAATGCAAGCATTGAAGCTTCTTATTCCGCAATATACTACAGCCTGTTGTTACTTTATCCACACCTATGAATAAATAACCGCAAGTTATTACATTTTAATGCTCTTTTCCTGTAAGATGGCTTCCGTCTCGGGAAATTGTGGGGAGTGAGAATATAAGCACGATGCATTAATGTTCTGAGCTCAGATCATCAACATGTGAACTCAAACATTAATGTTTTTGTAAAATATTGTGTATGTCGGAGGCGTTACTGAACTTGTAACAGATTCAGACTGTTCTGATGGACGAGATTACTTGGTGTTCGGTATCATTATTACGATAAGATTCGAAAAATTCTTCGTAACAGTGATATTGAAAAGTAGGATAACTTGTCTAGTTGCATGCAACAGTATGAGCATTCGTAAACGTGGATTGCGTAATATATGTAAAAAGATAGCTTGTATGTAACTGAGGCAAACATTAAATGTCACGGACCTGGGCTACGTTTATTATATTTTGCAGATATCGCGTTAAGGACAGAGAGCGGCTGAAGAGGGACCTGTTTAACTTCATAGTCGGATAATTAGTGTAGCAGCACGTACATGCCATTGCGCATGCTCAATATTGTCGCCTTCTCTGTCGGGTCTACTCTTTCCTGCCACCTGCGATCACAAACTGAAATAAACCCGACCAAATATGGATCCTTGCGCCGGTCCAAGGATAAGGTTTCAGAACCTGTTACACCCTCTCCTATCTCAAACTGTACATCGGTGTTCGTAGTGAGTTTAGTGTGAGTAAATATGAGCGTATTTTCAATAGGGGATGAACTTTGACGAGTAAAGTTGCCCGCCCGCAACTTCAAAGTGGCGCTGCAGTGGCAGTTGGGTGAAGTCGGAGCGCGCATTCAGTGTGGGAAGCTAGTCAGTGAGAGTGTGTTGGTCGAGGGGAGTGTGGCAAGACGATGAAGTGTGCAAGCGATTCCATGTCTCTGACAATTCAAATCCTCGTTATTATCACATCCTACCTCGCAACAGGTGAGTAAATTACCGAAATTTGTTCGAAAAGAATTATAAACGTAGAGCTGGTAAATGTTGCAAAAAGAAGTATTTTACGTTGTTTTTGTGTTCAATGCAATCTCGTGAAAGAAAGCCGTTGGATCGAACCCCCTGAATTACGTATTTGACGTAGTATGTTTCGTATGTGAGGTTAATATTTAAGTGCTTCATGAATTCCCTATCAACTTTTAAAATCTCCGGGCGCGTAAGTTAACAACACGAAGCATGCGGACCGAATATTCCTCTCATTTTCGCTTTGATGAAACGTGTACTTCAGTTCATAGATATCGGAGTTAAATAATTTCAGAGTTTCTACTAAATTTCCAGTTAAGTGTTTATTATAGGAGTCATTCAATGTAGAATGAAATACAAGAATTGAGTATGCCGTTCTTGGAACTTCACACCTGCAGATGTAAATTTATATAGCTGTCTATACATGTACACAACAACTCATAGTGTGTCTATGTATGTTTTTGAAATGTGTCTGATCATAAGTTTCCTGATATATGTCATAATAACATTCAAAACGTGGTGAAATGTTTGAAGTGAGCGGCAGAAACCGTAAGTAGATTCAAGAATTAGAGTGAAGCTCAAAAGGATAATTATCGATGAGTTTCGGATAGTTCAATTCTCTCTCATTGGCTACTTGTTTGATTTTATTGTACTGCATGCAAATGGATGGAAACTCCTTAATTTTGTCCATCAGTTTGTAGAATGAACATTCTCAATGAACTAATATGTCAACAGAACTATCAGAGAGTAGAAACAGTATTCAGAACTTCAATTAATCGAAAGGTAGTTAAAACAATTCTTATAAAGCGTATTAAAAATCTCCCTAATTTAGGTCCTTTTTCGGCCGTCTTCAAGGGTTTAACCTATCCTTGAGCTCTTGAAGATGACCTAGAAGGGCTTAAACTAGTTAATAATAATAATAATAATAATAATATAGTCATATCTCACTATAAAACTATAATACGTGTAACACGTATTAAAAACAAAATATATTTCGAAAATAGCTGCTACTCTATGTACTTTAGAGACAAGGTTATAAAGTGGTGAATGGATTGGATAATAATAATAATAATAATAAATCTCACAGGGAAATACATGTATTTTGTATTCGTAAATTGTGTATGTTGTCTTCGGGTATGAGATCAGTAAAATTTGGATCTGTCGAAATGTTTGTGTTGGCGTGTATCGAAGCTCATACTACGTAATATTATAATGAGTTTTTTGTTTGTAAATGTCGTAGTCCATTTAAATGCGACTGATGTTAACACAACCTGCTACGGACTGATTCCATAGATCGAACCCAACGTGGTGAAATCCCGGCGATTAATTTAAATTTGTAAAAGATTAGCTTTTGTTAGAAATAGATTGTGACCGTTGAAGCTCTGTACTTTTGGTCGCATCATGCTCGGTCCAGGATTGGAATCCAGCCGAGAACATTGATATACGTTCACAGTTTGTCACCCCCTCCACCTATGAGTTGGTTCACACATGCTGAGAACATGTAGACAAACAGTCAAAGGCAGCATAGACCTTCATCGAATAGTTCTGAGTAATCGCCCTGATGATGGTGGCAGCAAGGACCTCCGAAACGTCGGTAAACTTCTTCCAAAATACACGGCGCAACAACCCATAGAACAGCCATCATCAGACTCACCGCCGTGAAAACCTCAAATCTTAAATTTTTGAATATATTTGTCAACCTGGAATAATGGCTTTATTAAAACATCGATCACGGTGTATACTTTTAGATACGCATCTTAAGTCTTTCGAAAATTGAAATAAGAGATAAAATTACTTGTATTATCTATAGCTTTCGCCTTGCCTTCACGCAGTATACAATTGTTCCTTTTGAATTACATGGCTTCATCCACATATCAAGCGGGATTAATATAGCAAGAGGAAAACAGGCACATGTACAAAGTGTGATTTTTTATTTTAATGGCGCTATATTAGCTGCTGAAGTCATGTAATATTTAAGATGTTTATGAATTATGAATCGAGTGGGATTTGGGAAGGAAAGTTTGTGGCATTTTCAGACTGTCCTGATATCACCATAAGGACTGAGGACAATACCGAAATATCGGGACAGCCGGTCCTCTGTCGGGATTCGAACCAAGTACTTCCCGAATTGTTTAGTAGGAAATACTAGTAAAGGTATCGTTTTATTGTGTTATAAATGTAAAAAAAATTCTTACGTGTATTGATGGCTGTTGTTTCATCTAGCGTGCATTATAGAGCGGAGTGAATTTTAGAGCTTAAAATAATTCTGATGGCTACCTGCCGGCGTTTGGAAATAATTTCAACCGCGCGGTAATTTTTTAGCAGCTGAGAGGAATTTACTGACAGTTTCGTTAATATCAACGGAATGTTTGTGATTTTTGATTTTATACGTTTCTGAAACTTTTAAAGAGTTGAGACGTATAGCGAGGGCATTGTGTTAGCTCGTTAGATCGTAAGTGCCCCGATTTAGGATAGCAGAATCAACTTAACAACTTTATCACTTAAGCAAACGCACTAGGTTGTTATTAAACCTTGAATTTATATGTTATTAAGAAATTAGGAGGAATATAATAGCGTATTACCGGCCAAAGTGGCCACGAGGTTGGGGGGCGTGTTCACTGGGACACTGGGAGTTAGAGTGGGTTCGAATCCCACTCAAGGCATGGATGTTTGTCCGCGTTTTTCTGTGTTGTGCTGTGCTGTCCTGTGTACAGGGCTGATCACTCGTACAGGGAGTCCTACCGAATGTCTAAATACATTAAGTAACCTTCAAAAGAGGCGACGAAGACCCACAAGGGGTGGTAGACCCACAGATGATAATGATGATAGGGTATTATTATTTGACTGAGCGAATAAGTTGTTGAATATTGGTCTAGAAAAGCAATATTATCGATATTATCATATTCCATGAAAAATTCGTATCGTAATGCTAATGTTATTATTATTTTTATTATACTATTGTGTTGTATAGTAGAAACATTTCTTTTATATACTTTAAATTTTAGTGATCTGGCCGCTCAATGCTAGCCAGATTGGAGAATTCACCGCTGATTAATAGCTTTTTATTCTGATAAAATTTGTAGGGCTAGGTTGGTGAAGTTATAAGTGAGCTCTACTCCATGAATGTAATTAACTAGCCACTTTATCTAACGAAATCGATTTATTAGATCACGTTATTTCGTTGTGTATCGTGTTTTTAAAACACCCTACCAACAATAATTTGATAATATTCTCATATCAGTGATGCACATTTGTTGTATTAGATTTCTGGCTCTCACGCCATTGAAGATGCCGATGTCGGTCTTTTGGGATATAAGTGCGTGCGGTCTTGTAGGTAGATACAATGTTTAATTCTTGTAAATGGAGGCGGTATGTTCCTCCGAAACGGTGGTTACGAAAAAGTTCATACGGCGTTACAATCCAGATGACTAACATCGACACCTATTTATTATTATTATTTGTTTAAAAACTAATGGTAACGATATATACCACCAGCTTTAACACTTGGATTTCATGCGTTTCTCAGCATACGAAGCGATTATTCCCCTGAACTGCAATTGATACCTGTTTTCTTTGCGGTACGAAATTAATTTTATATGTAATGTAGAATGTTTTTGGCTTCAAAGAGTTAATTAAATTAGGGGGCGTGGTTGTTTCCGTATACTGCTTTGGTGAATATAGAATGTGGTCACTCGAAACGATATATTAATGAGAGAAACCAATGAAGTCATCAACATGCTGAACAGGAATATACCAGAGACTCGTGCACTGGACTGGGACTACTCTATCAGATATAAGTCCAACACTGTAACGGTGTTGAACTTGGAGGACAGTCGGAGGTGTGTTTGTATTTGTCAATAAATATTACTGATGTAATAAAGTGAAGGAGTAAGATATGATCGGGGAATATAGCACAAATTGCGGGGCGAAAATTTTATTCCTATACAAAATTATTTGTAGATTTTAAAATGGCCTTTGAAGAAGTAGGATATGAGGATCTGAACTGGTTTAATCTGGCTAAGAATAGGGACCCGGTGGCTTATTATTTTGAATACGGTAATTAACTCCCGATTTTCATAAAACTCAAGGAATTTCTTAATCAGCTGAGTAACTAAGAGTTAACTGAAGAAATATACGTGAATTATGTGATTTTTATGATTAAATATATTAGTGAAACAAGTTATAAACCTTCGGAACCACAGGATCCAGTACACCAACGCTGAGTGTTCCTAATACGTCTTTAACTGTATATACCTTCTTAACACGTAGGACAGTGATCGAGTCAGGGGTTGGGAGGTTGCCAAACGCGTTTTGTACATACAGCCTGTCACTGCGTTTGCGTATCGCATTCAAGGTATAGGACGTTTCACTGTAAATCAGGGTGAGTCAAATGCATGCCCCTTAATTGTGGACGCCAGTTCGTAAGGAATATGAGTAAAGTTGAACTTTAAAAGACTAAATGAAAGTTATTTATCGTAAAGAAGTTGATGTCTAGGAAAATAGATGTATTCTGGGTTGTTGCTCAGTGTAGTTTGGTGAAGTTTACCGACGTTTTAGAAGTGCTTTCTGCCATAATCATCCGGACGATGAATAAGCATGGCGTGGTATATTCATTGCTCCGGTGATGGGAAAAGCAATAACCTATGAAACGTCTGTAAATTGCACTAGACTGCACGGAGCAACAGTCCAGAAGACAGCCATCTTCATATTCGCAGCCGTGATAACCTAAAATCTTACTTGATCTCTAGGATTTTACATATGAATAATAAATTTCACTTTCCTTATATCAGGAAAATTAACCCATCTTCTCGTCTGTATGTGAGCTATTGAAATGTCTTGGAATTTAGACTGTTTAATCGTCAGAGCTCGTATAAGCAAAGGCCCAATAAATCCTAAAATGCGACAAAGAACAAGTATTTGGGAACGCCAGGAATACATCAAAATGACTTTGAAGAAGAAGTGAAGAG